ATCCAGACCTGTTCTGAGACCTTCTAAAACTATTTTTAAAATACAGGACTGTTCGGAGACCTCCTAAAACTATTTTTTAATATCCAGGCCTGTTCGGAGACCTCCTAAACTATTTTGAAATATCCAGGCCTGTTCTGAGACCTCCTAAAACTATTTTCAAATATCCAGGCCTGTTCGGAGACCTCCTAAAACTATTTCTAAACATCCAGACTATTTTAAATATTCAGGCCTGTTCGGGAACCTCCTAAAACTATTTCGAAATATCCAGGCCTGTTCTGAGACCTCCATAAACTATTTCTAAATATCCAGATCAGTTCTGAGGCCTCCTAAAACTATTTTTAAATATCCAGACCTGTTCTGAGGCCTCCTAAAACTATTTTTAAATATCCAGACCTGTTCTGAAGCCTCCTAAAACTATTTTTAAATATACAATTTTGAAATATCCCAGTCCGTTCTGAGGCCTCCTAAAAATATTTTAAATTTAGGGATCTAAATGTTTTTTTAAAAAATTCATTGACTCCGCCCCTCCTCGGTAGTAGGAAAATATTTACAGATTCGGAAAATTAGTTGAAATCAGTGTTATGGGAAATTTCGAATTTTGCCTCTGCTGGAGGGCATTTTCATTTAAATACCTTGCCAAACCCACTGTCGGAGCATTACAACGTTCTATACTGCCGATCGCGGTCGTATTATCCTCCCTCGTCCTCTCAATCGCCGTATACCCTGGTCGACAAACACATTTCCCTTTATTTTCAATACGTCTAGGCGCATCACCACCTGCTGCCGTCTTAACAGGTTCCAACCATTGCCCTGGGCCACATGGTCCCCTTGTATAGAGTTTATAACAATTACCCTCCAACTCAACCATACCCGGTGTCGATTCACAGGTATTCGTCATAGGTTCCGATGGCGTCGAACATTGTTGATCTAAATTCATGAGAATTCCCGTACAACCACACATGCCATTATACGATATACCATCGACCGAAGGGCGGGCGGTAAAATCGAACACCACCACTTGATGGAGATCACAGGGGCCCTGAGAACCAATGCGATAGCATTGATTTTGATCGGGGAAATAGAGGCGATTTTTACCACAGAAATTCTCCACACAGGTTGTGGCATTGATGAGGAATTCATTTTGGCCGCAAGGGCCTCGGGTATACAGGCGATAACAGAAACCATCCGACCAGGGTACATAACCTTCTTTGCACTGGCACTGGGCTCTGGTGGCTTTAATGGGATTGTAATAATTATTCTGATCTTCCTCACCATCTCCAATGGTTATGTTTTCGGGAAAGGTGAAAATATTACCCGGTGGACATGGTCCGGGGGTATCTGAAAAGAACAGATTTTGTGTTAATTTTTGTATTTCTTGAAAATCGTTTTCCGATCATTTTACTTAATTCATAACACATGTGATAGTCTTCGTGATAGTGCGGCAGACCACGATGACAATCACAAACGCCGCCGGGTAAAAACAGGTGGCCCGGTGTTGAACATGGACCCTTGGTGAAATGTTCATGACAGCTTTCTTCCAAGTCATAATAATAGGGTTTCAATTCACCGGAATCTTCACACTGGAAATGATAGAGAAACAGAATAAAATTAGATTCTGCGAGGTCCCTACGAGGTTTTCTTCCCGAATGCATCGGGAAATTGGGGAAAAATATTCTTAAAAAAATCCTCGAAACTTCTGAGACCTACCAAAACTATTTTTAAAAAATGCTATCCTGTTCTGAGACTTTCTAAAGCTATTTTTAAATCTCTAGACCTGTTCGGTCTAGAGATTTCTAAATATCCAGGCCTATTTTGAGACCTCCTGGAACTATTTTAAAATATGCAGGCCTGTTTTTAGACCTCATAAAGTTATTTTTAAATATCCAGGCCTGTTCGGAGACCTCCTAAAACTATTTTTAAATATCCAGGCCTGTTCCGAGACCTCCTAACACTATTTTTAAATATACAGACCTGTTCTGAGACCTCCTAAAACTATTTTGGATATGCAAGCCTGTTCGGAGACTTCCTAAAACTTTTTTTTAATATCCAGGCCTGTTCTGAGACCTACTAAAACTTATTTTAAATATCCAGGTCTGTTCTGAGACCTCCTAAAACTTCTTTTAAATATAAAGGTCTGTTGTGAGACCTGATAATACTATTTTTAAATATTCAGGCCTGTCCGGAGACCTCCTAAAACTATTTTTGAATATCCAGGATTGTCCGGAGACCTCCTAAAACTGTTTTTAAATATCCAGGCCTGTTCGGAGACCTACTAAAACTTATTTTAAATATCCAGGTCTGTTCTGAGACCTCCTAAAACTTCTTTTAAATATCCAGGTCTGTTGTGAGACCTGATAATACTATTTTTAAATATTCAGGCCTATCCGGAGAACTCCTAAAACTATTTTTGAATATCCAGGATTGTCCGGAGCCTCCTAAAACTGTTTTTAAATATCCAGGCCTGTTCTGAGACCTCCTCCTCCAGGTCTGTTCGGAGACCTCCCAAAACATATTTTTAAATATCCAGGTCTGTTCTGAGACCTGCTAATACTATTTTTAAATATTCAGGCCTGTCCGGAGACCTCCTAAAACTATTTTTGAATATCCAGGATTGTCCGGAGACCTCCTAAAACTGTTTTTAAATATCCAGGCCTGTTCGGAGACCTGAAACTTCATTTAAATATCCAGGCCTGTTCTGTGACCTCCTAAAGCTAGTTTTAAATATCCAGGCCTGTCCGGAGACCTCCTAAAACTTCTTTTAAATATCCAGGCCTGTTCTGAAACCTCCTAACACTATTTTTAAATATCCAGGCCTGTTCGGAGACCTCTTAAAACGATTTTTAAATGTTCAGGCCTGTTTTGAGTCCTCCTAAAACTTCTTTTAAATATTCAGGCCTATTCTGAGGTCTCTTAAAACTTCTTTAAAATATTCAGGCCTGTTCTGAGGTCTCCTAAAACTATTTTGAAATATCCAGGCCTGTCCGGAGACCTCCTAAAACTGTTTTTAAATATCCAGGCCTATTCTGAGACCTCCTAAACCTATTATAAAAAATATAGGCCTGTTCTAAGACCTCGGAGATCGCTCAAAAATATTTTTAAATAATACATTCCTTATTTGGAGCCTTTTAAAAATCTATTTTTTTACTTACCCTACACTCCGCCAGACCATCTTCATTTAATACTAATAATTTACCCCTGGTACAGGGCCCTTTGGTTAAGCGGCTATAACATTTACCATCCCGTGGCCAAAATAGCTGATTCTCAGGACAGGCTTTAGGTGTTTTACAAACACCCCAACGATTTGTGGTCCTAGAAAAAAGGAGACAGAATGAACAATAAATTATAAAAATCTCCGAATTCCCGAATCCTCCCACCTACCTTTTATTCCCCTGTTGCATTTCGGGTACGGGATTAAAATACTGACCCTTCGAACAGGGTCCACGTTCATAGATTTTATAACATTTATTTGTTTGGCCACTCAATGCCGTTCCGGGCGGGCAACGACATTCCGCCACCGGCACATTGGCCATTACTTTTCTTTTACTCGTTCCAATGGGTATTGTGGGACTTAGTTCCATGGTGTCGGGACAGGGATAGCCAATACTGAATATTTTAAAACATTTCTTTAATGGTGGCCAATAGAGCAGCTGCCATCCTCCCGGCATTGTGGCACATGGATTTTTATCAGGATCACTCCAGGGTGGTGGTATAATTGCCGTATCGCCTTGCTGGCAGTGTAGTAGCGTTAGCAAGGTTATTAAACTAAGGCAGGCTTGCAGGGTGAACCAGGAGATGGACATTTTCCGTCGTTTCATGGTTGTGGATGTGTGTGTGATGGGGCTGGAAAGGAAAACAAAATTTAAATATAAGGCGCGGATTTTTAAAAAATATTTTAAAGGGTCTACATCTAGGAGGGAATTTTTAATTTTTTTTCAAATATTTTTTCGTACCACCCCAATATCCATTTATTGCTCTACTTAGCTCCACTTATCAACACAATTGTATTAACAAAAAAAAAAAAAAAAAATATGTCAGTCACTCTCTAAAGTAAGTCAACAATTGTGCCCCTCAAGCCTTGTTAGCTAAACATCGATTACAAAGAAAATAAAAAAATGCAACAACAACTAAATAATAAAAATTATTAATATAAAATATGGTTGTTGTTGTTGCTAAAATGTATATCACATGTGTGTGAATATTTAAAACAAGTGTTTAATAAAAAACACATAAAAATAAGTCCGATATCCAGCCTTGCCCTGGGTGGCACCAACAAGTGTTGTGTGCGGATGTCAAACCCCCTGATTTTTATACCCTTCACCACACTGTGGTACAGGGTATTATGTCTTAGGCCAAAGGAATCGAGATAGACACATGGTTCCATAGGATCACTTTCTGAGTCGATTTACGCATGTCCGTCTGTCCGTGCATGTATTTTTGTGAACAAAGTACAGATCGCATTTATGACCCGATTCGGATGAAATTTAGCATAGGTCACTTATTTGGCCCAAGGACGAACCCTATTGGAATTGGGAAAAATCGGTTCAGATTTAGATATAGCTCTCATATATATATTCATCCGATTTAATGTAAATAGTGCACCAAAGTCCCTATATATCTTTCGATTTCCACGAAATTTGGCACAGCGTAATGAATTAGGCCCAGAATGATGTGTGTTAAGTTTCCTGAAAATCGGTTCAGATTTAGATATAGCTCTCATATGTGTTTTCGTCCGATTTAAGGTAAATGGTCCACCAAAGTCCCTATATAACCTTCGATTTGCACGAAATTTGGCACAGCGTAATGAATTAGGTCTAGAACGATGTGTGTTAAGTTTCCTGAAAATCGGTTCAGATTTAGACATGGCTCCCATATATATTTTAGTCCGATTTAATGTAAATGGTCCACCAAAGTCCCTATATAACCATCGATTTGCACGAAATTTGGCACAGCGTAATGAATTAGGCCTAAAATGATGTGTGTTCAGTTTCCTGAAAAACGGTTCAGATTTAGATATAGCTCTCATATATATTTTCATCCGATTAAAGGCAAATGGTGCACCAAAGTCCCTATATGCCTTTCGATTTGCGTGAAATTTGGCACAGCGTAATGAATTAGGTCTAGAGTGATGTGTGTTAAGTTTCCTGAAAATCGATTCAGATTTAGATATAGCTCCCATATACATTTTCGTCCGATTTAAGGTAAATAGTGCACCAAAGTCCCTCTACATCCTTCGATTTGCGTGAAATTTGGCACAGCATAATGAATTAGGCCCAGAATGATGTGTGTTAAGTTTCCTGAAAATCGGTTCAGATTTAGATATAGCTCCCATATATATTTTCGTCCGATTTAATGTAAATGGTCCACCAAAGTCCCTATATAACCATCGATTTGCACGAAATTTGGCACAGCATAATGAATTAGGTCTAGAATGATGTGTGTTAAGTTCCCCGAAAATCGGTTCAGATTTAGATATAGCTCCCATATATATTTTCATTCGATTTAAGGTAAATGGTCCACCAAAGGCCCTACAAAACCTTCAATTTACACGAAATTTGGCACAGCGTAATGCATTAGCCCTAGAATGATGTGTGTTAAGTTTCCTGAAAATCGGTTTAGATTTAGATATAGCTCTCATATATATTTTCGTCCGATTTAATATAAATGGTCCACCAAAGGCCCTATATATCATTCGATTTGCACGAAATTTGGCACAGCGTAATGAATTAGGTCTAGAATGATGTGTGTTAAGTTTCCCGAAAATCGGTTCAGATTTAGATATAGCTTCCATATATATTTTCGTCCGATTTAATGTAAATGATGCACCAAAGTCCCTATATGTCTTTCGATTTACACGAAATTTTGCACAGCGTAAAGAATTTGGTCTAGAATGATGTGTGTTAAGTTTCCTGAAAATCGGTTCAGATTTAGATATAGCTCTCATATATATTTTCGTCCGATTTAAGGTAAATAGTGCACCAAAGTCCCTCTACATCCTTCGATTTGCACGAAATTTGGCACAGCGTACTGAATTAGGCCCAGAATGATGTGTGTTAAGTTTCCTGAAAATCGGTTCAGATTTAGATATAGCTTCCATATATATTTTCGTCCGATTTATGATAAATGGTGTACCAAAGTCTCTTCGATTTGCACGAAATTTGGCACAGCGTAATGAATTAGGTCTTGAATGATGTGTGTTAAGTTTCCTAAAAATCGGTTCAGATTTAGGCATAGCTCCCATATATATTTTCGTCCGATTAAATGTAAATGGTCCACCAAAATCCCTATATAACCTTCGATTTGCACGAAATTTGGCACAGCGTAATGAATTAGGCCCAGAATGATGTGTGTTAAGTTTCCTGAAAATCGGTTCAGATTTAGATATAGCTTCTATATCTGACCAAATGAAAAAATTAGCATCGGTTGCAGAATGACATGTTTATGGATCCAATTTCATTTTACTGGTCCTTTAAAAATGCGACATCTGTTAGGATTCATCTGTTGTGAATATACCCAAAGTGGTGAAGGGTATCATATAATCGGCACCGTCCGACTTTACTACTTTCCTTACTGGTTTTTCTATACGATGCAACAAAGAAGAAAATTAAAACAAAAAAATACCCCGATTCGTACGATTTACCCACTAAACCACTTGGCTGTCTGGTCTGCATCGATGTAGCACACAAAAAAACCAAGTCAATAGATCAACAACCATGCCACCACTTCGACCACCACTACCACCCATATGGCAAATTTTTTTGTTTGGGCATAACCACAACGAATGATATCATTTATTACGGCTATCCGCACACACACATTACAAAATAGAAAATCGGAGGAGGGAGGAGAGGATTCCAAACACCTCCACCTCCACCACCATCAAATTTGCCACATTTTTCCACTTGTATTGAGATGCCGGTTTAATGTGGCGCGACATTAAATGTTGCATGAAACCACAAAGCGGGTTGGTATCCACCTCAACGTCATTCCACCAGCCAGCCAGCCAGATAACCACACACACACACAACCACCCATGGTGTGTGTGCCTATAACTTGCCCCACCAAGAGATATACAAAATTAATGTGTGAGATTTTTTTTCGCATTAATAATAGTATTATATAATATAGGTTGTTGTTGTTGTCATAGACAACAACAAAAATCTTCCGGTTGTTGTTGTTGTTGTTGTTGCATTGTAAGTGGTATTATGGGTCATTGAAAGTGAAATGACCCATTTTTCTTTGACTGGTTAAGGTCACAAATGTTTATGGCTGTTTGTGTCTTAAGTCTTTTGTTTCATATGTTAAGTAGAGCATACTTTTAGGATGAGAAAAAAAATTGTTTTAAGGAAACCAAAATCAGGTTTGAAAAAAAAAATATTTTAGGGTGTACAAAAAGGTGCGGATAAAAAAAATATTTTTAGACGTCTATTATAAGGCACGGATTTATTTTTAAAAAATATTTGTCTAAAGTCTTACAAAAGGCATCGATTTGTAAAAAAAAATTTTAGAAGTCTATAACCAGGCGTGGATTTTTTTTTAAATATTTTTAAGGGTCTACAATAAGGCGCGGAGTTAAAAAAAACGACTCTGATTGGCTATAACATGGCGAAGTCCAGGCTTATCTTGGTACCTCTTTCATCTCAAATGTGGACACTGACCTCACCGCGGTGCCACCAGGGGTAGCTATTTTCATCACCCGATGAAATAATGAGCTAATATGTGCCGCAAGTTCACATATTAGCTCATAAAAAAATGGGCTGAGGCGTCGGGTTAGTTGCCCACTCTCGAATAACCCAACCTACTATGAAAAAGCAAAGAAAAAGAAATCCTAATGGTAGTAGCTTTGGCTATGAAGTTGGGCAGAGGCTATAGTCTGTGAGTGACCAGTCTCGAACTGTTTGGGGTTCTACTGGTAATAGCTTCGGCTATGAAACTGACCGATGGTTTCGGTAGCACGGGTGTCAGGGCCCCTAGGTTTGCGGATCTAGCCTGGAAGTTGGTGTTGGCCCTTCGGGGAACATCGTGCTGGATGTGGTTTATACCCAAATCGTGGGTAGAGCTGTAGCTCGGTGTGGAGTTGCATTACAACCGGTTGCTTGACTCATAGAAAAGCAGGAGTTTTAGATGGGCTCCGCTCCTCATCTAAGGAGGTGATCGCGTCCAAATACGTGTGATCGATTGGTACCTGCATTTCGGTGTGGGGGCGTTGGTTGACGCGTTGTATTAACTGGTGTTTACAGCACCGTGGGGTAAGACCGCAAGATAGGTACCCACGTACTCTAAGCATCTCTGTATTATAGCTGCCATGAAACGAGACATGAATTTGGCTGCGGATTTATGGTTAGCAGGAGAATTAAAGACCTAGTCTCCAGATTCACTCCAGTAGATGAGCAAGTTGCTATAATCCGTATAAAAGCGAAGTTCTTCTTCGTCAGTCTTGTGCCCATGCTCCGACCGAAGACAAAGATGAACAGACCAAAGGCATATTTTATGAGCGCCTAGAAACAACATATGCACAACGCCACTTGGATTTCTTCCGATCGAACAACGAGAAATCACAAATGCTACTGATGTGAAAAACGCTGCGTATAGGGCAATCCTGCAGGCAGTAGCAACACGTAATGCGATGGAGAATTATCGGGAGAAAAGGAGAGAGGAGAAACGTGTTTTCAGAAAAAAAGGAGAAAGAACAAGAAAAACGTGTGCGTGAGCAAATCGAGATGTACAGGAGTCAGAATGAAGTTCGAAAATTCTACCAACGGGTAAAACACCAAACCGAAGGCTTTGGTGCAGGCACATCCTTCTGTAGAGATGAAGA